AGCGGCCAGCAGCCGCAGTGAGCGGCTGTCCAGAAGCCGGCGACTGATCTGCCTCACCCGGGAAGAGCGCAATGATGGTGCCAACTTGGGCCAGTGAAGCAATGTCCTCCACAACTAGACTGAAGAACAAAAGGACAGCAACTTATCTGTTCCCCTTCCCCCAATTCCCCAGCGCTGTTCCCATTCCCCCAATTCCCCAATAAAAATCTTAAAAAAAAAAAAAAGGTCAGCAGAGTGATTGCTGAGTCTGCTTTGGGATGGACAGGGCGGCTAGGAGGGTGTGGGGCAGGGGCCACTGGCCATGTCCTAAGAGGCCCAGGGAGGCTCCCCTGAGGAGGAGGCCCCTAGGTCAAGTGGGAACTAGCCAAGGAAGGAGGCTCGGAGGAGCTGGGGGTGGGGGACAAGGTGGTGTGGGGGAGCAAGGTTTGAAGCCATGAGACCAGAGTGCAGAAAGGCATGTAGGTGGGAGTATGGATTTCACAGGCTGAACCTCTGTGTGTTGACAGTGTGCACATGTGGAAAAAGATGGAGTGATGCGTGAGGCTGGGCAGGAGAGCTGGGGCTGGGTCGTGACCAGCTCTGTGTATTATGCTAAGATGCTGCCTTTATTCTGAGGAAATGGGGCCGTTGTTGAAGGTTTTTTAAGTGGAGTGAGATGAACAGATTTAAAGTGACCTGTACAGCCAGGTGTGGAGAATGGCTGTCATCAGGCCAGATGGGGAGCACTAACGGGAGTTAAGATGGGCCCCTGCGCTGTGTGTGCCTTCCCTTAGGGCTGAGGAGTCTCTCATAAGCATCTCCATTTGCCGCTGGCTTGGGTGGTGCTGGTGGTGCTGGTGGTGCTGGTGACGGTGACGACGGTGACGGTGACGGTGATGGTGGTGAGGTTGGTGGTGATGGTGATGGTGACGGTGACAGTGGTGGTGACGGTGACGGTGACAGTGGTGGTGGTGATGCTGTGATGCTACCTTCCCATTCCCATCGGACACTCCCATCACCTTTATGGCTGTCGGAGCAGTTCACTTTGTTTCTAGGGCTGACCTCAGGAACAGAAACACTGAAATGCGATAGAAAAGAATGTCTCTGGAAAAATGAGAAACGTAATTAGAACTAAGGCTATGTTTTTCTATGTTTGTCTCCTATCTTGCTGTTTCAGTCACTTTCCTCCTAAGCAATTATCCCTAATTTCTCCTTCCTCACCCACACCTTGACAACCAGTCCTTCCCCCTGCCCAGGGCCTGGCTTCCTCCGCTCTTTTGCTGTGTGGCACTCGGGTAACTATGGCGACAGGCTCCCACCACCCCCCCCCAATAGGCAGCTGACTTTGTGTTCACTCACAAAGCATTCTGGGGTCTCAGTCCTTAAGGAAGAAAAGCTATTGTGTTACTTTTTGTATCAAGATTTGCTATCATGTCCAGAGAAGTGACTAAGACAAGCTGATGAGACAGGAAACGACCAGTGATGGAATATCGTTAGATCCGTCCCACACTAACCGCACAGGGGCTCAATTTCAGGTGTCATTTTCACTTGAGAGTGCTTCACACAGTCCCCATTTCCAAGTACTGTATGCAATCTTAGAGATGGGAAGAGGAAATTACAAAGGTTCTCGATCCTCTCACAACGCTTCCATTGTTGCCACTTCCCTTTATGGTGTTTCTCTCCTAAGAAACCCTCTGGGAACCGAGCCCGTTACCCAAGTCAGCTGGGGTGAGGGGTGGTGGTTTGTGCCCGAGGTCCCTTGCGGATGGAGTGCCGTATTTGTGGGTGGGCTGGGCCTGGGCTTGCCTGTGGAAAGGGCCACACTCCCCATGGCCCAGTCCCTGTTGGCCTCACGCACTAACACTCCTATGAACTTGGCTTTGTCTCGCTCGCTCGCTCAGGTGGAGGGAAGGGGGCGGGGAGGAGGCGCGGGTTTCGGTGCGGGGATGAGTCTATTAAGCTCCCTCTGGGGGCCTGGAGGAGAGCAGCAGGCAACTGCACTCAGCTCTGTGCGGGCCAGACGCCTTCTCGGCGGCCTTGCCTCTCACCACCTGGCACCTGGTTGTTTTGTGCCTGGGCTGCCTTGCGTTTGCGAAGGTTGTTGCCTCTGGAAAGCGCTGCAGCTGAGAAGCAGACAGAAGGAAGCTACTAGATGTTTTTCTAGGTTTACGGGCAAGAAGTACAGGCTCACTTTAGGTTTCTGTCCATACTGCTCAGTAGTTCACTAGGTTGGGGAGACAGGGGTCCAGAGCAGAAATCCCACGTGATGAAACGACAGTAACTATTCTAATCACAAAGCCAGCTTTTGCTCAGCACTCGGAGTGGCAGGCCCTGCTGTGTCTGCCTGTTCCGTGAAGTCCCCACAAACACACATCAGTGAATTCTGAGGCGCCGGCCCCAGGAAACACAGGTAAGCTTCCTGTGGGCCTCTGGCTACATTTTCCTCAACTGGTCAATTCATAACCTTGTTTCGCATGTGTTTCTGTTTAGAGACACCTTATTTAGCACATGCTGTCGGTTCCTTAACGTTGAACTCATGGCCTACAGCACATAACTCAGGCCTGAACGAAGCTTCTCTGACACATGTGTTTTCTCCATAAAGCACATCACAGCCTTCTGTGCTTAGGAACCAGACGGCACTTCAGCGCTAGGCTGGGGGGCCGAATTTAACAGCAAAATCACAAGCAAAAAGCACAAAAATGCAAAAACATGGCCCTCAATGGACCACAAGAAGGGCACTTGTTCCAGCAGGAGCTGAACCAAGAAGGCAGAGCGTCACCTTGTTTACCTCCAAGGGACCATGTGCCTCAGGTAACTCACATGTTCACTCTTCTGTGCATTTCCCTTGAATGACTGTGAAGGTGCTTGCAAGCATGGATTTGGGGGTTACAAATAAATTTTGGCAAGTCAGCCAATACAGAACCTGTGGATAAAGAGGGTCGACTGTAGTATTATTTTATCTTATCCTCATAACAACCTGGAAGGCAGGAACTATTGGGTTGTTGGAAAAATCATGACGTAGTTTTTTCTAAACGTTGCAAAAATGTGTCATGACTTTTCTGACAACCGAATATTATCACCTTGATTTTCACATATGAGAAAGAGAAACAGAAATTTAGGTTGATTTGCACAAAACTTCAGAGCTACAAAACGAGGGAGCCAGGATTCTCATCCAGGCAGACTGACGGACTCGGGAGCCTAGACCGTTACCACCACTTCATTGTCTACATGAGGGTTATGGCTTCATTAAACTCTGTGCAGTAGTTTTCAGGAAACGAGCTTCGCTCACAGGGCATGAGGAGTGAAAAAGCACCAAAAAAAACACATTCTTAAACAAATATTTAATACTATTTTCTCAGCAAGAGTGCTTATACCCAAGTACCTGTTGAAACACATGGAATTGCCCTTTGTAGGTTAAAAACAGTTGGACATTGACAATTTCACGATTCAGCCTCATATTCCTTGGAAAGCTTTCTCCCCACGACTAGAGGTAGCAGTTTATCCCATCTTCCCGCATATGGAAAACTGAAGTTACTACACTTCAGAAGGGAAATCAGTAGTATTTACAGGTTTACTCTTATTAAATAGAAGCATAGGAGTTTATGATTTTACAGCAGACGTTGATCTATTTTCTGATCTTTTCCAGTTAAGGACAAAAGGATAAGATCTCAAACTTTGGTATAAATAGGCCAAATATATTTGCTGCCTGAAAAATGCTGAGCATTGGACTTTTATTATAGGAAGTGTATGACCTGCTTTTCTAGGAGTCTTACATGTTACCTAATTGAGATTAGATAAAATCTCTACTGGAGACGGCAGGACAGAGAATAAAAAGTTTGGGGGTCCGCCTTTTTTCAGGGTTTAGGAGAGAAAGTGTGGGTGATGTAATAAAATAAAATAATAGGCATTTCCATTCCCATCTTAACCAGCCAAAAAGTAGAACTTAACACTTGATGACCTTGCAGTAGTACACTCTTAGAAAGCTGCAAGGCACTCTGGAATTTATATTGTACAAGCAGCTCTAATTTTTAATCTTTCCTTAGCATGGTGGCGAATAAGAGAAAAAACAAAAAGCGCCACTTCCCCATTTGCTAGTGTTTGCTCACCTAGCGTTAGCCAGAGAACAGTAAATACTTGTTCAAAGGACTGTAGTGTTTATAACTGGGCAGATGGGTTGGATTAGCTATTCCTCTTATAAGTAGGGATTCACGCTCAAATTCTTAGTTGGGGTATGAACTGAGTAAGTACCTCTCACAATGTAAAAAGGAGGAAGGCAGCCACCTTCTATTTCTTCTGAGATAATACGAACTCGGTTCTCCTTTAACCTTGCAAAGTAGGTGATTTATGTCCTGATGATGAGATCAGGCTGGGAGAGGGCTGGTTCCCGTTGCACAGGGGAGAGGCATGGCCGAAATCAAGAGCACAGAACCGCCCGCCCCCAAAGCCTGCCCTTCGCTCCCGGCTCCTTCCCAGCGAAGATGCTTTGAGCACTTCAGTTTAGACCCGAACCCCGCCTGTCAGTATTCCCGTATTGGCCCCCGACACGCTTCTCATAACGTCAAGCCTGGACGTCTTGTCTGCAGCCCTGGCACTGGTCCGCCGTGTCGGACGAGGGCCCGAGCACCGGACGTGGGCATGCGGCACCCCGCGCCTGGACGGCCTGCGTCCTGGGTCTCCTCGTCCTGTAAGCCGGGCTGTGCGCCCGCTGTCCTCACCCCAGGCTACGCGAGACGGCGACTGCTGAAATCCGAGCGCGGTGGCTCGGTGCTGCTCTGCGTTCCCGCGTGACCACCCCCACCCGGCCCGCGGGGCGGGATCCAGGCAGCAGGCCCCGCAGGGCGCAGCTCAGACCCGCAGGCCGGCGGAGCCCCGGGGCGCATGCGCGCGCCGCTACGGCGGCCGCAGGGGCCCCGCCGGAAGCGGGTGACCCGGACGTCCGGTCACCTGGGGGAGCCCCGGGTTCCGGCTTCCTCCGTGGGCGCGAGCGGTCGGCGAGCGAGTGGCCGCCGGCGGGGCCAGGGAGCCGGACCATGGAGAAGCTGCGGCGGGTCCTGAGCGGCCAGGAAGACGAGGAGCAAGGCCTGACCTCGCAGGTAGGGAGCCCGCGTCCGTCCTCGGGCCGCCGCCCGGGGTCCCGGCGGCGACGTGTGCTGGGTCAGGCCCGCGGGGAGCGGGGGAGCGGGGCCTCCTCGGCGCGTACAGTCGATGCGGGAGCGCCCTGCCCGCCTCCCGGGAAGCATCTGGGGGCTTCCCGGACGTTCATGGAGTCCACGGCGCTCCCCAAGAGACCCCCCCACCCCCCGGTTGGCCTTCTGACTGTGAGGGACCCGCCCAGCGGCCTTCCCTCCCCCACAGGACCCACCTGCCCCCCGCTGGCCTCACCCCGCCCCTCGGTGTTCTGCGCCCGGGGGGCTCTGAGCTGGACGTGTGCAGGCGCTTTGTCCCGCGAGCTGCGGGAAGGTTCCCGCCTCCGTTTGCCCTGGAGATAAATGAGGTCCTGTGAGGGGGGGTGTGTGTCTTTTGGAAGTAGGGAGACGAGGTAAAAAAACAGGTCATTGAGAAGTGAAATAATACTGAATTAAAAGTTGTTTGTTAAGGCATTGAACCCTGGTAAGCGATTTCTTTTTTTTTTAAAGCCCTTGTCTCTGTGCTTTCCCCACGGGACTTGATAAGAGTTACTTCCTCTACTGAGAGGATTAAAAATAGGAGTGGTGCAGGAACTGCTTCCTAAGTATTTTTGCTGTTTGCATGCAGACGCATTCCTGTGTGCCTGTCACAGAAGCGGGAACATTGGAAATGGAATAGAATTCCGTAGAGGTCTGTTCTTGGTCCCCTTCCTATCCTGACTTCCCTCCTGCCCATTCAGCACTTCGGGGGGGGGCGGGATTCTGGGCCGGGCTGCGGGGGTTCAGGGACTGTAAGACCAGCACCCGCTCGGTGGACCCTGTAACCACTGACAAGGCGCAGTCATAACCCACATGAAAAACGTCAATGGGGCCGTGACGTCTTAGCCCATTTGCTGGACCACTGATGTGTGTTCCGGTGCACGCTGTAGGTCTGCCACACAACACATGTGGCCACTTACATTTAAATTAATTAAAATTGAATGAAATTCAAAATGTCCTCCTAGTCACGCCGGCCGCATTTCAGGTGCTCAGTGGGCAGCCGTGTGAGTGGCTGCGCAGGGGACAGCGCGTGAGTGGGACATTCGCTTGCAGACAGTTCTGTTGGGGCGAGCTGCTTTAAACCCTGGGGGCGTGGAGGTGATAGGGCCGCTTTTCCCGAGCCCACCGCCTGGAGGGGAGAAAGATATGCAGCGAAGTCGCTGGTTAAAGATTGGAGCGATTCTAATGGACAAGAGCTGTGAGTTCAGAGGGGACCCATTCATTCATTCGGCCACTTTTAGAACCTGCACACGTGTGGCCCTGCTCATGACGCTGGTGTTACCACGGTGACCAAAACAAGGCCGCCAATCCACATGGAACGTGCATTTTAATCGGGGGAAACAGTTAAAAACCAGTAAATATAAACTATGGCAGCCAGTGAAGAGGGGGGTTCACCTGGCCCACCTCCTGTCCCAGAGGTACAGGGTGCCTAGGAGAAGGCAGGCCCACTCGAGGGTGCAGGGGAGGCCACGTTGCACACACAGTTGAGAGGTGGCGAGTGACCAGAGAAGGCCGCAGGCTGTGGAGGAGGCCGCGGATGGTGTTTCGGGGTGGCGGGCGTGTCTTGGGAGTGTGGCAGGACACACACAGGGCTGCAGGGCTCGTGGGCTTGGCGGGGACAGGACGAGGAGGTGGCCGGGCAGCGGGGAGAGTGGGCTGCACAGGAGGCCAGGGCACAGGCAGAGGAGCCAGAGTTGGGGGCTCCCTACCAGGTGACGGGCAGAGGTCAGGGAGGTGTGGACAAGGACGAGGGGGGGGCCCAGGAAGAGGGAGAACAAGGAGGCGGAAGGAGCAGCTGTGGGGCCGATGGAGAGTGAGGGGAGAGCGCTGTTGGAATCGGCCCAGACGGGAGGCGGGAGGCTCGCTGGGGTCTTAAGCGTGTCTCTTGGAGTGAAGGACGGAAGTCCTTTCATGTCTGGAAGGCGCTGGTCGTGTGGGGGGTGGAGCTGCGTTGGTCAAGGAGCGAGCGCCTGGCATGTGCCGGGGTGGGACCCCATCAGCTCCCCGGCTGGCTCTTACGAGACGGAGGGGGCCCCCCCTCTGATGGGCACCCTTCCTTCCTCAGGTCTCCTCTCACGCCACCTCCCAGAAGGGCCTTAGCACGAGTGCCCGATCACTGGGCTGCAGCTGCGCCTCCCTGACCCTCCGCCCTTTGACCCGCGAGCTTCCCTTCGTAGGATGACGGTCGTTATGTGGGCATCGCTCCCTGGAAGACAGCGACCTTATCATGGTACTGCTGTGTTCCTGGCGTCAGGAGCTCCGCCGAACCCGAATCCGGAGAGAGAGACCTGGGCTCTCAGGTGTCAGAGGGGCCGATCAAAGTCACAGGCCCCAAAGGGAAGGGCTGGTTCAGCCTAAATCGCGTTCTGCGATGGCATCATCAATAGCAAGAGGCTAACCCCAGGGGAGAGGCAACTCCCCGGTTCCGTGTCTTCCGGGGAATGGGCGTGGACGGTCAGGAGTCAGCTCACTGCTGAGGGGGCCCCATGGGCAGTGGACCCTGAGGTCAGGAGGAGGCCAGCGGGAAGGCTCCCCTAAGGGACAGAGCCAGAGAGGAGAAAGGTGTCCTTAGGGTCCCCTCATGCCCTGCGAGAAGGCCTTGGTGGAAGAGGAGAAATGGGGGTGCTGGGCTGAATGGGGACGCGGGAGAGGGTGTGATGGACCAGGTCCAGTCCGTGAGCACAGCTCCTTCAGACACTGCAGTGCTGGGCCGGCCCCATGCGTGCCGTTGGCAGGGCAGTTACCTGGGGCACCTTTTAACCAGGGCCAGACTCCTCCCCCAGCACTTGGAAGTAGGAGCGCGTGGTGGCGGGTGGGTGGATGGATGGATGGAGGATGGATGGATGGATGGATGGATGGATGATGGATGGATG